GCACACTTTACCCTAGTGTGTTTTTGGACACATTAATCAGCTGTAGGAATTGCATTGCAAAATTTGGAGATTTGTGAATGTTAAAGGTTAGCTGTGTGATGCGTACTCAATCAATTTTTCTCTCCCATCCATAATGGTGAATAACATGGTCTCCAGAAGCTTGTAAAGATTCCAAGAGTGGGACCACTGTCAATAGCATTTGCTTAGTTCTACACATTAATTTTAAAAAGACTGCAAGAAGAGCTAATGGCATTTTAAATAACTCCCACACCACAAACAGAACACTCAGGCTCCTTGACATATAATGTTTACAAAATGATCTTACAAACCACTGCCCCTTTCGACAGCCAAAGTAGAATGGCTCACAGAATGTACCTTTCACCATGAGCATGGAGACCCGTTAAAGTCATGTTTAAATGTCATTTTAAAACTCTTCTAAAAGGTACGATACTGCTGTGATATGTTAATTCTCAAAGGAAAACAAGGCATTCCAGAAAGGTGTCTCTCTGTTACATGTTCACCTGGGCTCATTATTTAAGGTAGTAATTACCATAAGGGGTGGGGGGGCTGGGAAAAACAAACAAATTTAACACTTAAGGGTTGCAGCAAGCACAATGGGCCCACCACCCTTGGAGGAGGGGTCCTGTCATATTTCTGAGGGTCCCATGGCTCTAGGATTGTCTAATTCTCTGTGATCTATGTGTTGGTTGTGACTGGATCATTCATTCATTCATTCATTCCTAAACAGGAGACACAAGGCAACAACCAGCTCTCTGAGAATGAGAGTACCCATTATGACTCAGCCTGCTTGCGACGTTACCATCGTCCCAAGGCCAGAGCCAGGGTTGTGTATACTGAGTCCCTAATTAAACGCAGCCTCTTGCCTTCTTATTTCTTCTTACAATTCCATACTTTGCAACTTTTTGTGGGGTGGGGGAGAAATACACATTTTGGTGCAATGTATATCAAATGACCAATGTTGAAGAGTGCTTTAATGTGAAAATTATTGATCAATGTACCATGGGTGCTAGCACAAATTGGCTGCCACAAGCAGAAGAACACAGATGTGTCAGCGCTTCTCCATGTGCCTCCTCCACATGAGGTGTGGGAGGTGGCAACAAGAAACTGGGCCTTTTCTTCAGTGGCTCCCTGTTTGTGGAACATTCTCCTAAGGCATGTTTGTCTGGCATCTTCATTATATATATTTTAGGTGCCAGGCGAAAACATTCAACTGGGCCTTGGGCTGATTAATATTCTGCTGCCTTTCAAAATGTGTTTGTGGAATTGGGGGAGTATTGTTTTGCTGTTCTGCTTATTTATGCTTTTATTTTTATCTTGTGAACTGCCCTGAGAGAACAGTTGATGAAGGGTGGTATATACATCTAATAAAATAAATACTCTGTTAAGTCTTGGGTTTAGTCAATGAGCAAACATAAGCTAAAATAAAATAAAACAGAGTAAAAGGAGACTGTTAGATAAAGAGGTAAGAGTTATAGCTCAATGGCAGAACATGAGCCTTACATGCAGAACATTCCAAATTTGGTCCCCAGCAATTCCAAGTTGAGCTGAGGGTGACCTCCTGCCTGAAACACTAGAGAACTGCTGCCAGTCAGTGTAGACAGCACTGAGCCAGATGGACCAATGATCTGATTCAGTTATCAGTTTCTTATGACCATTGATCTTCAGTGTGCATTGTCAGGAGAGTGATAAGTGTGTTCTAGGTCAAACACATTTCCTCCATTGGGGTAATGAAGGTTTCCTCAACAGGCCTGATCAGAGCTCTGAAGGAATCAAAGATGTCCTCTAAAACATAGCTCAGAGCTCTGTATGCAATGCTGTGCTTCCAAGGAAGACGAAATCAATATGGAGAGTGTTCTTTGAAGGTAGAAACTTTGAAAACCTCTGGCCTAGAGTTTCAAGAGGAGCTGCTGTGCTGTGCCAATTTTCAGAGTCGCCAGTGCTGAGCCAGACAGATATCAACAGTCAACTTCAGCATCTGGCAATTTGCATCCCCCTGTGTCTCATGTCCTGATTTGGGAACCAAACGTGTGATTTATTAGCTCTAAAGACTAGTGTCTCAGAGACGGCAATCAATGCAGAGGTGGCGATGGGCAGCAAGAGAGAGAGAACCTGCAGGAGAGAGACCCCTGCAGCTGCATGGCGGCACGGCTGCTAGAATGATTAAAAGTAACTAATCACTCTAGGAAGTGGGAGGAACATTTGGACAGGAGCTAACAACATATGGTACAAGATCTGGGCCTGCCCCGGGGCAAGAAATGTTCAGTCCCTCCAGCTTTTTCTCCAGAGGGTTTGGAGTTTTAATTATACGGTATTTTCAAAACACTTTGCAGATTAATCACCACCACCACACCTGAGAATGGTAAATATTGTTATCTCAAATTTTGCAGTGGGAGATGCAAAAGCATACGGCAAAGTTACTCTCCCTGTTGCTGTGTAGCAAAACAGTGGCCAGGTCAAGATTATAAGATTTTAATGGTAGCATATTCATTTTAAAGCTGCATTCACATCAATTATTTTTATTCAAGTTTGGGTTGACATTAGGGCGAAATGATTTCCTCAAGCATTTTAATCACTTTCTAAAGGTATCCCACCAACCCCTGTTTACCTTTTAGGTATTAATGCAAACTCTACCCCGGTATATGCATTTGTGTACACATTACTGAGCTGGAGAACTGAATTGCAAAATTCAGACGAGTGCAAATTTTACAGCATGTGTTTCAGTTTGCATATTGTTTTGGAAATTATGAATTGGGTAAAATCACATTTTAATGCAAACTGAACTAAATTCCTCATCATCCCTAATTCAGAGTCAAGCTGCCTCCAACTGTAGAGGTAGAGTAAGGATGGCTAGAAGCTAATAATGTTTCTTCCAGCATGAGCTTATCTGATCCCAGAAGTTGTCATCACAGGCCCTCCTCTGAGTGTTCACTCTGTCAGAGGTACAGAGAGCAGCAACATGGGAGAGAGCCTTTTTCATAGTTGTCTCCCACTTACAGAATGTTCTCCCCAGGGTGGTCGTCACCAATGCTATCAGCTTTTACATCCCAAGCAAATGTTTCCAGGCATTGTTGTCCATTGCTTTCTGTTGCTGGTTATATCTGGTGATTGGTTGCTTTATGGTGATCTTGCTGATATTGTGCAAAGTGGTTACTAAAATATATATTTGGCAATTATGTGTGATCACAGTAGGGTTTTTTTTATCTACCATGCTTTGACTGTACATTGCATTTTGCATCCGTCTTGTACTTTTGATATAAGCTCCCTTGATATATGATAAATCAAGAACATCAGCATGCTCACCAAATTCTTCTGGGATTCTCAGCTTTCAGATGTGAATGTCAGTATTCCAAACATTTGGACATTTGCTGCATTCGAACAGGCATTGCTGTGCAACATACTCATTTTTACCGGGGACTCTTTTTAATGCAGTAAGTTATACAATATTTCTGCCGTATATTCTTCCACCACCACTTGCTGCCTTCAGCATTGCCCTTTTGCTTTGTATTTCTTTCCCAAGCTTTCCAACATGGATGTGACTCTGCAAAACCCAGGCAATTTTGTTGGCATTCGTATGTGCAGAATTCAGTGCAGAATTTCTGGCACGCTCCCCAGACCGTGACCTCTCACAGCACATTAATATTTTAGTGCATTACAAAGAAAATTAATTCCAGGAGTTATCTTGTGAAAGGCACATATTTACATATCATTGTGATAAATCTTGTTATTTGTAGAACTGCTTGGGGTCAGGCAGAAATATTCCTGAAAGGAGGATGGGATCCATGTATCTTAAAATATCAGTTATAAATGTTGTGTGCTATGATATATCAAACACACTCCTTTTTAATTTAAAGAATACCACTGTCACCATTTGTTTCACAATACAACATTTGACCAAGGCACTGTTTGAAGGCGCATTTGATTTCAGAAAATTTATGCACCTCTTGATTTAAAAGGAAACAACCCCTCAAATTGGCTTACAGACAATAAAACAATAAACTTATCAATAAGAAGAATTAATAACCATCAAATGAGAATTTAAGAAAGTTACAGCAACAATAAACTAAAAAACAGATTAAAATTCACATCGACATTCAAAATTTGTCTAAACAGAATTGTTTTTAGGAGGTGCCAAAAAGAGTACAGTGAAGGTGTCCACTTGATGTCAATAGGCAGGGAGTCCCAAAGGATAGGGGCCGTCCAATAAAATATCAAGTTCTTAGAAATGTAGAATGAGTACCATGTGGCACCCATAACAGTACTAATTCTGCTGATCAAAGTGGTGGAGCAGGCATTTAATGTAGCAAGGTGATTGCATAGGTAAACTGGTCCCAAGTTCTTAAGGGCTTTATATACTGATAATAACATATTGAACCTGGCCTGGTAGCAAATCAGCAACCAGTGCGGATCTCTGATGTCCCTTTCTGTACAGTCCCATGGGAGCCGTTCTGTACGACATCTGCGACACACATCCAATGGAGCCATGTGCATGCGTAAGCAGAGTTCAGCAGAAAGCCAGACTGTTTAGGAATGTGGCATCATGAATTACTTTATTATTTACAGGAAATTAAAACAAAATAACATGGCTAGTGTGAACAGCATCTCACACATGTGTCCTCTCTGTCAAAGAGAAAAAGAACAAAGAGCGGAAGTTCTCCAGTCTGAGTTCCGTTCCCACACATACAACAATAAGGATTGTAAACAGCGGATCACATGATCCAGCAACAGGAGAATGAAATACTAATAGTCACAGACTGGGTGGATGCAGAGGAAAGGTGGGAGGAACCAGTTGAGAACCAAGCAAAGACAATGAATGCCAGAAAGAGAAGAGGTAGAAGCTGAAGCAGGAGAGGAGGGAAGCTAAGAGGTATTCTCAAATAGATTTCACAAGTGCAGCTTTATGGAGTGTGTCAGTATTAACCACAGAATTGCAGAGTTCAGTCATCTAGTTCTACATAACTCCCTGCAATTCTGGAATCTTTTGCCCAACATGGGGCTCAAACCCACAACCCTGAGGTTAGGTATCTCATGCTCTACAGACTGAGCCATTAGACCACTAGGTAACTTATTGCTGAGAGAGAAAGAAACAGCAAGTTTTCCTCCCACAAACCTTTGACTGCTTGTCCAGTGCTCCCCGATACAATATTTATGGAACACATATATATAATTTAAAGGAGGCTCAATCTCAACTTCTTGTCATAGAATTTTGCTCTGTTATAGACTTTGAGTTCCTTTGACAAATTATTATTTCAGGACAGTAGTGGAGGAGGCAGGCTTAATTCTCCCATCCATATATTGCAGAAGTGCCCCGGAAATGGAGAAGTTTCAAATAGAAGCCAGTTCTTAGCAAAGTTAGTAACACAGAATCCTTAGGATTAAAAGTCACCGGATCAGAAGTTTAAGGTTGGTACAAGTAGGAAACCCCTTCAACTGGCTTGTCTGCAAGTGTCCTTTTCTCAACAAGGATAGCTTCACTATAGTGAACCAAGTTTTTGGTAACTATATTAATTCATTTTACACCCACCCACCCACATCCTACTACCCTTTTGTCATGGAACTCAAGAAGGCATAAATGTAGCTCCCATGTGGAAAAGGAAGGTACCTTTTATCATCTGTGGTGGGAATGTAAGAAAGTGAAATGCTTCTGGGAAATGATTTACAATGAGATGAAAAGGATGTTGAAATATACATTTGTAAAAAAACAACAACAAGCATTTCTACTTGGTATTGTCTATATTAATAGACAAGATTAAAAAATGTTCTTATATGCGACAACTGCAGCAAGAGTATTACTGGCACAGAAATGGAAGCAAAAAGAATTACCGATGAAAGAGGAATGGCAGATGAAATTAATGGACTATGCAGAATTGGATAAGATGACAGGGAGAATTCGAAACGAGTGGGACCAGAAATTCTTGAAAGATTGGAGTAAATATGCGAGTTATTTGAAAGACAATTGTAAGCAACTGACTACGCTTGTATGACTACAAGAAGTTTTGTAAGGAGAACTATATGAAATATTACAGAAAAGAGTTATGAGAATGGATTTTAAGTTATTGACTATTAAAAGTAATAGTTAGGATAACAAATGTAAGATTAAGAGAGGAGGTTTGAAAATCATTAGATGTGGTTGATGGAAGTCTCAGGCTAAAATAACCAAAATGATGTATAAGATAAAATGAGGTGATATGTTCTGTTTGGAAAATATATGTAAAAACCAATAAAAATGTATGTAAAAAATAAATAAATTGTGGCTCCCATGTGGTCATGTGGTCACCCATCCAAGCATACACAGGGCTGCCCTTGAAGGATAGTTCAGAAGTTGCAACTAGTACAGACTTCTTCTCAGAGACTGGTTTATCTAGGTCAGCCTTTCTCAACCTGTGGGTCCCCAGAGGTTGTTGAACTACGGCTTCCATCATCCCTAGCTAGCAGGACCAGTGCTCAGGGATGATGGGAGTTGTAGTCCAACAACATCTGGGGACCCACATGTTGAGAACCACTGATCTAGGTGGATCCACACCCATTCCAAAGAAAATCCATTGGCTCCCTATTCATTTCCAGGCCCAATTAAAGGAGCTGGTGCTTTCAAAGCCCTAAAGGCTGGGGATCCATACACCTGATGGAAAACCTCCTCCTGTACCTATCTCATCTCATCTTGTCTCGTCGTTTTATTTGTGTGCCACCTTTCTATAGTTAAAACCATGCTCAAGGCAGCTTACAACATGTAATAAATTATGTAACTACAACATAACAAAAGAAGTCCCAAACAAAGAAATAAAGCATGCAAAGTGCACTACCAAATTAAACAGGTTTCGCATAAATCACAGTAAAATCTAAAATAAAAATAGAAGAAGGGGGGGGGGACAGTAACAGCAACAACCTCCCCCTCCCCAAGTCAGCTGGCTTCCCAACAATGGGCATTGCTGTCAGTTACCAATAGGACAGGGGGAGGGCTGAGGCATCAGGAAGTTTGCTGTGGCACAGGTGTGATGGCAGGGCATCAGATTGGTCCCACCATCACGCCCACAGTGAGTTCCCCGCCACTTTCCCTTCCTTCTCAGTTACTGGCAGTGATACTTGGCATTGGGAAGCCAGGTGAACAATGCTGCCCCACTCACAGTGCCCCACTGACTTCTATGACAAGAAATGAGGCCCTGTGATAGAAGCTCCAAAAATTTCCGTATTTTGATGGGTGCACACAAAACACTTGTAGGTGCTTTTTGTGGGTCACCCCGACTTTTTAAAACCCCCGAAATGATTATCACCATTTTGTTATTGTTGTTTTAAGTCTGCAAATAGAGAAATAAAAATACACTAAATATTTCACAAACTACCAGGTAAATTGGCAATTGGTGCCAGCACCCTAACCTTAGGGACGCCAATACATCTATATCAAGGTTAGAGACACACAATTAACCAGGATAAGACAAAAACACCCACGGCTACTAACCACAATGGCTATGTTCTGCCTCCACAGTTGGAGGCTTTATATACTACTTCTGCTAGAAACTACAGCAGGAAAAAATGCTCTTGTGCTTGAGTCCTTCTTTACAGGTTTTCCACAGGCATCTGGTAGGTCACTGTGAGACCAGGATGACAGACTAGACAGGCCATTGGCCTTAAAAGCTCCATGTTACATTGTAGGCAAACCCCTACTGTTCTTTGGCATAGTTCCCCCCCCCCCCGCCCTTGCAGATGCAAGTAATTGTGTCCCCCCCCCCCACCAGAGCCATCTTTCCTATTAAGTAGCACCCTGGTGAAATCATACACTCCCAATAATCTTATTTTCTAATTCAGGGCACTCTGGAATCATATAATGAATAATTCTGTCTCCAGTTCTCCCTGTAATGACATATGAGTAATGTTTGTAATTGTACCTTTCCAGATGAATATGGCAGAGCTGCCTATCAAAAAATGAAACAAAACATAAATATATTGTAAACTTCTGTTTTCTGGCATTTGTTTGTGTTGCTGTCTACTGTTATGTGTTTCCTTGGAAAGATAGAAAGATGATAGATAGAGATAGATAGATGAGAGATAGATAGATAGATAGATAGATAGATGATAGTAATACTTGGTTGTTTAGGCAGGGGTGGGTTGTTGTTTTTGTCTGTCTGTCTGTCTGTCTGTCTGTCTGTCTGTCTATCTGTTGCAGCCCAAGGCCAACATTCACCTGTAAGCAGCCTTCCAAGGGCTGCATTCCACTTGCTGGGCAGAGCCAGATGCAAACATGGGTGGAACAATGGATAGGACTCTTACATTTGATTGGTAGCTTATATTGCAGTCATGCAAAACTCAGAGGTTTGTGAACACACAACCACATATAACTTCATCCTCCACCCAAAGAAGCAAAAGGGCCTTCCTGGTGTGTTTAGGGGCTCTTGCACTGTTCTGCCAAGTGAAGCCTTGATGTCTGCCTCAAAGTCCTGAACTAATGGTGCCCTTACATAGTAAAAGAAGTGCATGGCTATTAGAAGGCTTAAGCAGATCGCCTCCCTTCCTGAAAGTTTCTGAAGACTGAATACAACGATGGAATTGAGCAATACATGTATTCCAGTTAACTAAATTCCCAGCACCCTGTTTGTTTTAGCATTATGCAAATAAACCGAATGATCTAGCCACAGAAGCATGTCATGAAATAAACATCACTGCACTTCTTAGACATCTAATCGATTGCACTGGATTTCACTTACAGGTTCGAAATCGAATTCCTTTCATCAAGCCTGGCTCATTGGAAAAAAGTCTGCCCCCCCCCATTTTAGAATAGTTCATTGTGTGTTGTTTGCAAACCTCCATCCTATTAGCAAATCCACAGAAAGAGCTACCAGTGTCCTTTTCACCACCACAACAGCCAGTAAATCTTAACAGTGTATGCAAACATTAGCACAGACACACAATTGCCCTCGAAGTATGAGAAAGTTCTTGGATTAGCATCCACTATTTAAAGCAGTGGTTTTTAATCCATTATTGACTTTTTGTATATAGATTTTAGGAAATTACATTTACATTTCATATTGTTCTTATTGTTGTTTCTATAAAAGCAGTGGTGCAGAACTTCCAGCCTATGGGCCAAATCAGGCCCATCAGGGGGTGTAATTTACCCTACAAGGCGAATGCTCACCAACTACATCCAACTACCCCGAACCTGACCATACATTGTAAAGCTACATAAGAACCATCAGGAGCCTTGAAGTGCACTTCTGGTTGTTTATTGCTATGCAGAGCTTGTGTGTGGTATTAAACAAAAAAGGTGACAGATATAGGATGCACTGGGATCAGTTTCACTGATTAGTTCACTTCACAATAAAAATAAACCAGTTATACTTCAGATTTTAAGTCTTCAAAAATTAAATTCATAAGTAGTAGGCTTCTATATGCCTGAGGTAAAATGGGAAGGTGCTGGGTCTCCCGCCACCACCAGCTGAAGCCTCATTTATAGGAGTCATGTGGTGAGAGGTTTCAATGAGACCTCATCAAACTTTTGTGACCTCTCACTGGCAGCCATGGCTTCTCCTTGCTTCTTCAGTGGCAGAAGCAGAGGCAGGCAGAGAGACCATGTGGGCCATGCCCCATGGGATTCCGCCGCCCAAGGCAGCCGCCTCAGTCTGCCTCAGCTGGCTCTGTCTATATGAAAGTTTTAACCCATTTTGATGGTCACTTTCATTGTTCACCCAAATCCTGGCATATCTGACATAAGTAGTCAGGCAGAAAACATACAGTGGAGTGTGGGGTTTTTTTCTGAATTAACAAAAATACAATCCATTTTGTGGCTAAAGATGTCTCCTTCAAATACTAAAACTGACAGTTGTAGAAAAACGAATATACATGTTTGTTACCATTTTTTTGTCACACTGGTAAAAAAAGGATTTATTCTTAGCTTTTTTTATCCATCTCCACTGCACATCCACTTAACACTAATTTTGCATTCTTAAAATACATGGAATCTCAACTGCATTTCAACCTAAACATTAGTAAGTATTTCAACACTAGAGTTTCAAATGTAGTCTAGCCTTCAGAGAAAATTGGAAAGGGAACATAATTCATTGTGAAT